ATTTTGAGTTTTGTTCCACATTGTTCTCCCACTCTATCCAGGATCTCCTACATAGATTCCCCCTCCAAGTGGTTGATAGTGGTAGCTGGGTACCATCTAATTCTTCTGGTCTCATAGTTGTATAGGCTGAGGATTGCATGGTGTACCAGTCCTTTGGACTAATTGCTTCAATGCATTTTCAGTTTTTTTCATTCTTCTTTGCATCTAGATGGCTGCTTGCAAGCTTTTAAGATCCCAGTCGCTACTCACAAAAGTAGGATGTGAAACAATGTTTTTCTGTAGTATGTTATGCCAATTGAGGTTGATGTCCCCTGCGACCATTGTCCCAAGCCCACAGGTCCAACAACTCACTCCCTCTGGGTAGCTGGCTGTGGCCAAGAAGTGACTACAACCTTGTCCCTTGTCAGCTCTACTATATACCTGGAAATTCTTACAGAACGTATCAATGCACTTGTAGAAACATTGTCTGCTAGCTCTATACATGGTTATGGGTACACTCCCCCCTGCATAGACATACCTAATAGTTCAGCCTGTCCACCTATCTATACACTCGTATGTCAATGCTTGCTTTCACTGACAACACTGTACTGTATGTGCAAAAGGGTTCATCTTCGTTGTCTGTACCTCCCATGCACCTCTCTAAGTCTTCCTCATCCTCAATGTCACCATGTTGCTCACTCACATTTGGTACATTGCCCTTCCCTTCACCCAAATCAATACTTATCTCTACCTATCTAGCAGAGTTCCATCCCCTCTCTTCCCACCGCTTGTAACCAACAAAGAAAATTTCCCTCCGTATATAAACCTTTCCTTGACTTTTTATAGTAACAGACTAATACAATATTTGTCTTTCTGTGATTGACTTATTTCACTCACCATAATGTCCTCCAAGTTCATCCATGTTATGTGGTGTTTTGCTAATTCTACATTATTCTTTAGGGTTGCACAGTATTCCATTGTGTGTATGTACCATAGTTTGGTTATTTGTTCTTCTGTTGATGGGCACATAGGTTGTTTCCATCTTTTGGTTATTGTAAATAGTGCTGTGATGAACATGGATGTGCATATATCTGTTCTTGTCCTGGCTCTCACTTCTTTAGGATATATACCTAGTAATGGGATGGCTGGGTCAAATGGTATTTCTAATTCCAACTTTTTAAGGAATCACCATACTGCTTTACACAATGGTTGAATCATTTGACAGTCCCACCAGCAGTGTGTGAGAGTCCCAATCTCTCCACAACCTCGCCAGCATTTGTTATTTTCTGTCTTGTTGAACTTTGGTACTAGTGCTGGGGCAAGATGGTATCTCATTGATGTTTTGATTCGCATCTCTCTAATGGCTAATGATCATGAACATTTCTTCATGTGTGTGTCGGCCATCTTGTGGACTTGTTTTAATTGTCTTCAGTTTCAACTTGAACTTGCATATGAGCAACTGGTGGTCTGTTCCACAGTTGGCCACTTATCTTTTTCTGACTGATGATACTGAGCTTCTTCATCTCCTCTTTCCACAGATGTAGTTGATTTGATTCTTGTGTATTCCATCTGGAGATGTCCATGTGTATAGATGCCATCTATGTTTCTGAAAAAAAGGGTACTTTCAACAAATAAGTCATTGGCCTTGCAAAATTCTGTCATGCAATCTCTGGCATCTTTCTTTTCATCAAGGCCAAATTTTCCAGCTACTGATGCTTCTTATTTGTTTCCAAATTTCACATTCCAATTACCGGTAATCATCAATGCATCTTGATTGCATGGTTGGTTAATTTCAGACTGCTGAAGTTGGTAAAAAAAAAATCTTCAATTTCTTCATCTTTGGCTTTACTGGTTGGTGCATAAATTTGAACAATAGTATTAATTGGTCTTCCTTGTAGGCATATGGATATCATCCTATCACTGATGACATTGTACTTCCGGATAGATCTTAAAATGTTCTTTTTGAGGATGAATGTGATACCATTCCTTTTCAATTTGTCATTCCTGGCACAGTAGACCATATGATTGTGCAATTCAAAATGGCTGATACCGTTCCATTTCAGCTCACTAATGCCAGATTATTAATTCCTATTTCATTTTTGACAATTTCCAATTTTCCCAGATTCATACTTCATACATTCCACTTTCTGATTAGTAATGGATATTTGCAGTTGTTTCTTCTCATTTTGATTCATGCCACATCAGCAAATGAAGGTCTCAAAATGTTTACTCCATCTATATCATTAAGGTCACCTGTACTTTGAAGACGCAGCTCTTCCCTAGTCATATTTTGTGTGCCTTCCAACCTGAGGGACTCATCTTCCAACATCATATCAGACAGTGTTTCACTGCTATTCATAAAGTTTTCAACAGTCAATTTTTTAAAAAAGTTGACTCGGCCATATCCTTCTTCCTAATCTGTCTCAGTGTGGAAGCTCCACTGAAACCTGTCCACGGGGTGACCTTGCTTGTGCTTGAAATACCAGTGGCATCACAGTAACATGCAAGCCAGCACAGTACAACTCACTGACAGATGTGTGGTGGAGGAAACGCTATGGAGCTCAGTTCTCCTCTTTAACAAATGGGGTCCTCCTGAGTCAGAGTGATTTCAATGGCAATGAGTGTAGTTGTGTTTTGTTTGTTTGCTTGCTTATATTTGTCCGGGGAAAGAGGATCTTGCTTTCACCACATGATCTAAGGGATCTACACCCACCATAAATGCACACATCATGCTTACTGATTATATGTTCCATAATGTTTGTGTCCAATGCCTGCAGACACAACCACAATGACAGCTGGGATCCCATAGCCAATAGGATACATGAACATCTTGTTAAATCTGCCTGCACCGGTATAGTTGGCCACCTTGAGGTTCCTGACGGTGAGGAAGAGGTGCAGCCCTTCCAGGAACATCCAGGTGAAGGATGCCAGGTAGAGGTAGTGCAGTGCACCTGCGATGACAGAGCACAGCACCTAGAGGGAGCAGAGAGTGGAGAGTGTGGATCAGATACTAAGTGCTCACTGCTAACCCACCAGGCTCTCTCAGCCCCTTGGCCTTCTTCATGTGGCATTTATCTTCCCCCATTTGTGTTTGCTTGTCTCTGTGTCTATGCTGCTCTTTGTGTCACTCAGAGTAGAAAATCGTATGGAGCACCATGTATTGTGCACACATGGAGTCACTATGAGTTGGAGAACTCAAAGGCAACTAACAACTACACTGATAGGGCTTCATTAACATGACAAAGAAAACCGTATTACCGACTGGGATCCCATCAACAGGTATAGGGGTTAGGATTCCAACACATGTTTTGGGGGGACACAGTCCAATCCACAACACACCCTGTTCTCTGCTGGGTTCCAAACTCCTATTTCCAATCATTGGCTATCTCCATTCACATGTCTGATAAGCACCTCTAACTTAGCAGATTTAAGTTTGAATTCACCATCTCTTCTGCCTCAAACCTATTTCTCCTTCTCTATCTTGGTTAATGATATCATCACCCCTCTACCCACTCTCTTCATCTAGAAGCCTCAGTGTCACGTTCATGTCTACTTTCTCCCACACCCATCACTTTCACATCCACTTGGGCCCCAAGTCCAGCCAATTCCACTTCACAAGCGTTTCTTAAATCAGACCCACTTCCTCTTCCTTGGTTCATGTTTTCATTAACTCTTACCATCACTCTTCCCTCTGCTGCTAGCTTCATCTTACTCTAGCTTACCTCCACCTTCTTAGGTATGAAGGTCATATGGCCTTTGTCATACACACAATTCTACTCGGATGCATGGGGGGGTGCCATGATTTGGGGTCACCATGAGTTGGAATGAATTCAACAAGTGGATTTTTATGCTGCCTCTCAGGAGAAAATGGTACTTCATAACCTTCTGGCTGTGGGATCATGGTTTTTTTTTTTTTTTAAGCTACAAGGAAATTGAAGAGCTCCTAGTTCCAATTCTTCCTGGTTCTATCTTGCTAAGCCCTTACTAGAGTCTTATGACCAGCTCCTTAGTTAACAGAGGAAGTTTAGAAATGGGAAGGCACTTCAATAACATTCTTTGCAAGTAAGATAAGAGTTCGACTCTGGCCCACATTATGTGGCCATGAGTCAGAATCAACTCTATGGCAACCATTATTTTTCAACATGAAGAGCTAAAATTCAAGTGGCAAAGTCATTGTCTATAAAAAATAATTCAAACTTATGCTCATTCCAGGGAGGGCACTGGTGGGTCAGTGGTAGAAATCTCACCTTCCATTCAGCAGACCTGGGTTCTATGCCCGGCCAATCCACCTCATGCACAGCCATCACCATCTATCTGTGGGGGCTTGTGGGTTGCTAGGGTACTGAACAAGTTTCAGCAAAACTTCCAGACTAAGAGGGACTAGGAAGAAGGGCCTAGCTATGGACTTCCTAAAATCAACAGTGGAAACCCTGAAGATCACAATGATCCAATCTCCAGCTGTTCATGGGGATGGCTCAAGACTGGATCATGTTTGTTCTGTTGTGCAAGGGGTTGCCATGAATCAAGGGCCAACTGGATGGCAGCTAACAATAACAAAAACAACAATTTCCCCATCCCAGAGCATAAGGTTGTCCTTAGGAAGTAGCTGCCCAGACAAGGACTACATTTCCCAACTCCCCTTGCAGTTAGGTATAACAGTGTGACAGAGTTCCCATATGGGACTCTGTCATCTCCTTTCCCCTTCTACTTAGCCCAAATGGAAAGGACCACAAGATAACCTTGGAAGCTCTCTATGGAATATGGTAGAGAGTCCATTGGCCTGAGGGTTGAGGATAGACACCCTGCAAATCTCCCCCCTATACATAAGCGGAAAAACTAACTGCTATTATGCTAAGGGGGAGCTCTGGAGGAGCAGTGCCTAAAGCATTTGACTGCTAACCAAAAGGCTAGAGGTTCAAACACACCAGCCACTCCTTGGAAGGAAGAATGGGCAATCTGCTTCCATAGAAATACCACCTCAAAAAGCCAAGGAGGAGTTGCTATGAGTCAGAATTGACTCAATGGCAGTGAGTTTGGTTTGGTTTTGTATTATGCTAAGGGGAGTCCCTGAGTGGTGCAATGATGGAGCATTAGGCTATTAACCAAAAGGTTAGTGGTTCAAATCCACCTAGGGGTGCCTAGAGGTAGGTCTGATGATCTACTTCCATAAGACCACAGCCACTGAAAACCCTGGGAGAACAGTTGTACTCTAAAACACATGGGGACCCAAGTTAATGGCAGCTGGTTTGGTTTTACTGCACTAAAGCCACTGACTGGTGTTTGCTATAGCAGCTAACATTTCCCTATCTAATACCACCATTCTGACTCCTAGTCACTTTGCTAAATGGCTCCTCAGAAAGAGTGAGTCTTGTTCAAAGTTAAACAGGAGCAGAGGTCAAACTCTTTTCCCCCCACACCCTCACTTCTGATTCTTGTCCTTTTCTCAGGACAAGATGATGAGATTTAGTTATGGCAAGGAGGTGATTTGGTTGAAAAATCCTACCTTGGGCTCAGTTTTGTCAATGCCCACGAGGAAGAGCAGGTGGGCCAGGAACAGGCAGAGGGAGAGCTGCAGGTGGAGCGAGGTGCTGGTGTTCTGGATGGGCCGGCACAGGAGGAAGGTGAGGGCCGCCAGGAGGAGGCACAGCAGAGAGAGGCTCAGCCCCACGCGGGTGACCACAACCAGCACCGGATCCTCCTGGGTCCAGAGAGAGAGAGAGGAGAATGCAACTCATGCTGATCTTAGAACCTGTGGTTTCTAGCAGCTTTGTGCTTAATAAGATCATTAAAACAAAAGAAAACAAAAGGTTACTATGAAGTCCATTCTGATTTGTGTGTCAGAGTGGAACTGTGTTCCATAGGGTTTTCAGTGGCTGATTATTATTATTATTTGGCTTTAACACACAGAAATTTCCTTATAGTTTAGGAGACTAGAAGTCCAAATTCAGGATGCTGACTCTAGGCTTTCTGTCCCTGTTGGCCCTTGAGAAAGTTCCTTGTCCTTTTTGAGTTTCTGTCCTTGGTGATCGTCACGTGGTTTGGCATCTATCTTCCCCCATTGCTGCTTCCTTTCTTTCTTTTTACTTTAATTTATTTTTCCTTTTTTTCCAAATTGTGATTTGGGTGAAAGTTTACAAACCAAATTGGTTTTCCATTCAGCAATTCATTTGGTGGCTGGTTTTCCAGAAGTACCTTGCCAGCCTTTCTTGCAAAGTACCTCTGGGTGGACTTGAACTGCCAGTCTTTCAGTTAGCAGCTGAGCACAGTACACACTGGCACTACCCAGGGACTCCTGGCCCCACTACAAGGAGCGGCTCAGCTCCATGCATGTGGTCACGCCCAGCACAGGAACTACCTGTGAGCCACGAAAGAAGGAATTATTTTATTTCTCAACTCAGCGGTTATGGCCCCAATGGCGAGTCAGATGGGGTTCCCCGATCAGGGATGCCTCAAGCAAGTTACTTAACCTCCCTGAGACTTGGTTTTCCCATCTCCAAAATGAAGGCCGTTGTGGTGTTGTGAAGGTTAAGCACTCAGCTGCTAACCATAATGGTTTGTGGTTTGAACCCACCCAGCAGCTCCAAAGACCTGGTCTTTCAAAGACCTAGTGATCTGCTCCTGTAGAGATGAAAACCTTAAAAGCCCTATGGGCAGTTCTACTCTGTCACATGGGGTTGCTATGAGTCTAAATCAACTTGATAGCACCCAACAAAAACAACCATGCAAGGCTATTGAAAACTGAAACCACTAGACCAGAGCTATCCAATATCACGTGAGCCATCCACATAAATTTCCAAGGAGCCACATTAACACATAATGTAAAAAAGTAACCAAACCAAACTACTGCTGTGGAGTCGGATCTGACTCATAGTGACCTCTCCTTGGGTTTTCAAGGCAGTATCACTACGGAAATAGATCGCCCAACCTTCCTTATGAGGAGTAGCTGGTGGGTTTGAACCGCCAGCCTTCTGGTTAGCAGTCAAATACCTCAGGCACTACACCACCAGTGTAATAGTATATTTTATTTAACCTAATATGTTCAAAATACTATCACTTCAAAACATGTGCACCAGTGTTCACTGCAACACTGTTCACAAGAGCTAAAAGGTGGAAACAACCAAAATGTGCATCAAGAGATGATGGATAAATGCACTGTGGTCCATCCACACAATGGAATATTGGAGCTGTTGTTAAGTGCAGTGGAGTTGGTTCTATCTCAGTGACCCTATGTAAAACATAATGAAATATTGCCTGGTCCTGTGCCATCTTCACAATCCTTGCCATGTTTGAGCTCATAGTTGCGGCCACTGTGTCAGTCCATCTCATTGACGGTCTTCCTCTTTCTCTGACCTCTACTTTACCAAGTGCAGTGAAGGGAATTGCTTGCTATGGCTCTTCTAGTCTTCGTGACTCCCACCAGACAACTGAGTAGAACTATGCAAATGTGAGGTGTTTGTGGCCCACAAAGGGTATTGGACAGTTTGTTAATAAGGTAAATAAGGTACATGGCATCCTTGTGAGGGTGGGACCACAGAAATAGGTGTATGGAACATTAATGTGGGAATTGGTCAGTTTTGCCATCCTGTGGGGCTTAAAATGATCTAACCCAGAAGTGTAAAGGGAAATCTCACTGCCATCAAGAGAGAAGAGCCAGGAGTAGAGTGCATCCTTGGACCTGAGATCCTGGCACTGAGATGACAGAGATGGCAGCAGCAGAACCAAGAGACCAGCATGAGACAGAGTTGTGGGCTTCCTGGTGCCCTGAGTGAGGAAGCTGTGTGCGATCAGGCAGGAAGCTCGCTAGCAGAGTGGGGCACCTCATTGGGTGTCTATCGGCAAAGTTAAAGTGCTTCAAGTCCTCTCTGCTGTCACCAAGCAAAGTTGTGTCATCTGCATATTGTAGGGCATTAATGAGTCTTCCTTCAATCTTAAGGTCTCATTTTTCTTCTTATAGGCCAGCTTATTGGATTATTTGCCCAGCATGCAGATTGAACACTTATGATGAAAGGATACAACCTTGACAAACACCTTTCATGATTTTCAACCATGCAGTGTCCCCTTGTTCTGTTCCAATGACAGTCTCTTGGTCTATGTACTACTCCACATAAGCACAATTAAGAGGTCTGGAATGCCCATTCTTCACAATGTTAGCCATACTTTGTTATGATCCACACACAGTTAAATGCCTTTGCACAGTCAATAAACCACAAGTAAACATCTTTCTGGTATTCTCTGCTTCCAGCCAAGATCCATCTGACATCAGCAATGATATCCCTCATTCCACATCCTGTTCTGAGTCATTCCGCATCCCTCATTCCACATCCTGTTGCATTTCTGGAAGTTCTCTGTCAATATGCAGCTGCAAGTGTTTTAAAATGATCTTCAATGGAATATTAGTCAGCCTCAAAAAGAAGTGAACTCCTGATACATGCCACAACAGGAGTGAATACTGAAAACATTATCTTGAGTGAAATAAGTCAGTTACAAAAAGACACATACTGTATAATCCTACTTATATAAAATAGGCAAACATATAGAAATGAATGATTATTAGTGATGGCCAGAAATGGAAGGGATTGGGAAAAGAAGCGTTTTTGCTTAGGGGGCACTGAGCGTCTGTTAATGGTAGTGGAATAATTCAGAAAAGGATCATGTTAATGGCTGCACAAGAAGCAGAACGCCATCACGGTCCCTGAATTTTACATGTATAAATTAGTGAATTGGAGAATGTTTGGGTGTGTGTATTTTCACCACAATGAAATAATATTACCAGTTCAATGTGTAATCCATGGAAAACAGTTATTAATTAATTATTATATATTCTCTATTTTCAAATTAAGCCTTTGAAACTCGACACATATTTTAAACTTACCACGCATCTCGATTCAGCTGCTGTATTTTCAATAGTGAAAATGAAATGTGCTCTTATCAAATCAATAGAGTTGTGTGTGATGGAGAAGTACTTTACACTGCTTCAGTCTTTTAATTTAGATAAATTTAACTTAAATAAAATTAGGAATTCAATTCTTCAGTGCTACTCACCACATTTCAAATGCTCAATACCCATAGTGGCTGGTGGGCCTATTGAACTGAATGGCATTCAAATGTAACCTCCATGCAGCCTGGTATTTTATTATTATTATTATTATTATTTCTGTTACTCCCTGTTGTATTCTCAATGCTGAGAACAGAGCCTGCCATATAGCAGGCACTCCATAAGTATTTGTTGAATGAATAAAATGAGGCTGTGCAATAAACCATCCAACACAAAGGTTGTAATAAAGTAAATACCCAGTAAATAGGAGTTAAAAAGAAACAGAGGAAGAAGTTAGGTACATTTCTCGAATGTACTTGAGATGTACTTGTCCTAGACCTGATTGGGGCTTGGGAAGTTCAGGGGCTATGCTTTGTCATTGGTGACAGGTAGTTACCTTCCTTATGGTCTCACTAGGAAGGGAGAACTGTGTCTTTCTTGTGGAACAGCAGGTACTTTTGATTCCAGAAGCCCTTAGACCTGACCATTATAAGGCTTGCCAACCCAACTTCCCAATACCAGAGGTGCTTTTTCTGTTAGCTTGAGGTCTGCCCATGTCCATGAAAATGGTAGACAATTAGCAGCCCCTAGATGCAGTTCTCAACAAGCAATTGAAGAGAGATGGTATATCCATACCCCAGCTCCCTCACTCCTCAGTTAGAGTAACTCTAAGGTGTGTGTTCTACAGACTCCCAGAGCTTCCCAGAAGTAAATGAACTCCAATTTCCCACAATGGTAACTGGCTTGAAATGCTCTGCATTGGTCTCTTTTTCTTCTTGTGCTTGCTCTGCCCTCTGTGGAGTTTCTTGGAATCACCTACCAAGTAAGCTATGTGCACGTGAGTCCTTATGTTAGAGTCTTTTTCTAAGACATGGAGAGGATGACTTCACAGCTCACTGGACAGACAGGTTCACAGGAGAGGGCATGAATCTTGGTACCTGGGGTGTAAGAGCCATGAGGACAGCAAAGCTGGACAGATGGTAACACTGGCATGTGGTATAAGAATCATTGCTGCCCACATGAGAGCAGCCCTCTGTCGACCAGCTGCCTCCCTCCTCCGATCCTTCCCAGTAGACACAGAAATGTTTTGCTCTGGCAGCAAGAATCTGGAAAAAGAACAGCATACAAGTGATTCTCCTTCTGGTTTATTATTTGAATGTTGTAGGTTAATCATGGTTGCACTAGGTTGGAGCTTAGATTAGGAACATCCCACTATCTTGAATACTTGTGAGGAAGAGCTTCCCACACTACCTGTGCTGTAGGGTTTATTCTTAATTAATTTTGCCCTTCTCTGTTCACTGCAGTGCCCTGGGGATTGACCCTCATCAACTGCTTCACCCAGCCTCCTTGTTGGTTATCTGGCTTCCACTGGTTCTACCAATGAGAGACTCTAATGAGAGGTCACTGGGAAAGAGAAGAGAGAGGTCAGGTATTTCTTCCAGGCTATTTCCATCTCCCTACACCCCATCTGAGCTCCGGTAGCATAGTGCTTAAGGCACTTGACTACTAACTAGAAGGCTGGTGGTTCAAACGCACCAGCCACTCCTCGGAAGGAAGGTTGGGCAATCTACTTCTGTAGTGATACTGCCTCAGAAACCCAAGGAGGGGTTGCTATGAGTCGGATCCGATGTGATGGCAGTAGGTTTACACCCCATCTGTCTGTTTTCATGTAGTGATGGCTTGTATGTTGCTTTAATGCTGGAAGACATGCCACCAGCATTTTAAGTACTACCAGGGTCACCCATTGTGGACAGGTTTCAACAGAGCTTCCAGACTAAGACCAACCAAAAGAAAGGTCTGGAAACCTATTTCTGAAAACTGTTGCTGTTAGTTAATTGCCCATGAGTTGACCCCATGTATAACAACACAAAACACTGCTTGGTCGTGTCCCGTCTTCATGATCTTTGCCATGCTTGAGTCCATTTTTGTGGGTTTTGTGTCAATCCATCTCACTGAGGGTTTCCCTGAGCCAATGAAAACCTTGTGGATCACAAAACATTGTCTGAGTCCGATCCACTTACTTTGGATGTGTCATCAGAAAGGACCAATCACTAAAAAAGGGCATCATGGTTGCTAAACTGGAGGGCTAGCAAAGTGGAGAGAAACCTTCAATGAGATGGACTGACACATTGGCCACAGAACGGACCCAATATACCAAATGATCATGAAGATGGCACGGGACTGGACATAATCTTGTTCTGTTATACATAAGGTCACCATGAATGGAGCTGTCGTCTCAATGACAACTACCATTTCCATCTCCAGTTGGACAATCCCTCCTCCATCCCTCCAGCTCTCACTAGGCTTAATCATTCTAGTTCTTCTGCTGCCTTTTTAGGCTTAAATGAGATCGTGACTCTCCACTGTGTCAATCTCTGGGTGTCCCTTCAGTATCCATTGTCAGTTCTCTCAACTCTGAACCATCAGAATGGGATTCATTCCCCTGCCATAAGCTTGACACTACACCCTCATCTTTTAAGGCACCCTGGATTGAGTCCCTGGATGATGTCAGCAGTTAATGTGTTCAGCTGCTAACTAAAAGGTTGCAGGGTCAAGTTCACCCAGAGGCACTTTGGAAGAAAGCTCTGAAATCTACTTCCTAAAAATCAGCCATTGACAACCCTATGGAACACATGACTCAGAATTGATTCAATGGCAACTGATACTAGCTTTTTTTAGCATAGAACCAGCCCTTGGTTTTGCTCACCTGAGTATGTTGAAAGACCAGTAAAACAGGTCTGGACAGGTAAGTTTTGTTCTTCAAACCAATGGTGCCACTCAGGATGTGAGAGTTCAGTTTCACTACCTGAAATCCTTTTCTGTCACTGAAGAAGGATCCATTGAGAATATCCCCAAGAGTCTGATAGGTGATCAGAGCAACAGCACTCTCTTCTGCAGCTACAGAACAGAAATAATTTTACAGGGTTTCTATAGTTTGAATACATGGTACAATAGTGACTTAGGTGAGAGTCATGGGATAAACCTAATGTACAGTCAAAACTGCCTTTGGAAATCTCTTAAATTGCCCATGCAATATACTACATGTAGTTTTGGGTGCAGAGTTTTATATTACGCAATACATATTATGATACACTGAATATTATAAGAGAGATGGATTGACATGGTGGCTGCGATGATGGGCTCAAGTACAGCAGGAATTGTGGAGCTGGCGCAGGATCAGGCAGTGTTTTCGTTCTGCTGTGCATGGGGTCACTATGGGTTGGAAACGACTCGACGGCACCTAACGGCAATGCAAAACATGCTAATCAATGTGATGTGAAAATATCTAGGCGTCTTTAAACACCAAAGTCTGAGTCATGAGGCAAAAAGTTTGGCCTTGGAGGGGCAGGTGGAACTCAGATGGGATGAGGAAATCCCATTTTATCACCTATCTCAAGTTCCCTCTGGGGATCTAATTGAACGGAAAGGTATCCAGAATTGCTCTCACTGGTGCTCAAGGCTCATACGCTCTCTCCCTTTCTCTGTCTTTCTCCTTCCCTCTTTCTCCCTCCCTTTGAATCACTGACCCTCTATACCTATATCTTACTTATTCCCTATAAGTCTCTATCCCTGTCTCTATGACCCCCACTTCCTGTCTCTCATCTCCAGTCGTTTGGAGATTTGACCCTCTATCCCCCTGTCTCTATGACCCTCACTTCCTGTCTCTTTGCCTCTCTCTTTCTTTCGCTCTTCTTTCTTCCTTCCCTCTCATCTCTTCTTCTCTCTCCCATTTTCATCAAGCATAACTTATTCACAGAAGTTAAATGCATACTGTAGCATGATGCAGTGCTTCTGAAACCACAATTTTACTTGTGCCAACATCCCATTTTATTCACTCAATTTCAAAATCATCTCCTTTTTAGATCCTTTCCTCTCCACTCTTATTATCTAGCTCACAGTAGGAGGTGAAGATTAGTCAGTAACTGGGAATTTCCTAGAGGAAATGGATCAGGTATTTCACTCTTTCAAAGTAATCAAGTCTTTCTCTCTGAAATAGTTTATAATAATTCATCCATTAAATATATGTTGAGCACCTATTGTGTGCCAGGCAGTGTTCCAGGCATTTCAGATACAGCAGTGAACAGAACAGAGTTCCCGCCATCAGAGAGCTGATATTGTAGTGGGAGAAATGGACAATATTAACAAATAAATAAATTAGAAAAATATTACACAGTGGAAGATTCCGTACAAAGACTTAGCTAAAGTGATAGGATAAAGCAGAGGTTGGCCAGAGGGCAAAATTCAGCCTGCCATCTGTTTTTGTATATAAATAAAACTTTATTGAAACACAGTCATGCTCGCTCATTTATCTATTGCTTATGACTGCTTTCACACTACTAGGGCAGAGTTGAGAACTTGCAACAAAGACAGCAATCTGAATACAATTTACTATCTGGATCTTTAGAGAAAAAGTTTGCTAACCTGTAGGATAGAAGAAAAATATGATAATAAAATAATTCTCCAGGGACTCAACTATATAGAAAAATGAAGTCCCGATGCACACCACAACATGGGTGAACCTTGAAAACATCATGCTGAGAGAAATATGTCAACCACAAAGGGACAAACACTGTATGATCACATTTATTTGAAATAAGAGGCTATACACAAACTGAAGATTATTAGTGGTTACCAGGGGTGGGAAGGAGGGGTACAGTGGAGATTTTACTTAGGAGCCATTGACTTTCTATTAATGGTGGTGGAATGATTTGGAAAAGGATAGTGAGAACGTGTACACAACCACAAGGATGTAGTCAATGTCACTGAATTATACATGTAGAAACTGTTGGGACAGTATATGTTTTGTTATGGATATTTTCACCACAATAATTTTTTTTTTTTTAAGGATCCAGCTCATATAGAAAAAGTTTAAAAATAAGCACACAGGATAAAAAGATAACAATATTTGGTTAAGAGTTCCTTTTTAATATCATAAGCAAAATTCTTCTGAATTTTGGGGAAAATTTTAAAAAGATATTAATCAGGGAGTGCAGCTGTTATTATTATGTAAAAATCAGACCAGCCTGGAAAAGCCTATGAGGCTATAGGAGATCAGTTAAAAAATTATTTGTATTTCTGGAATAAAAAACAGCCTTGTGGCATAGTACCTAAGGCATTTGACTGCTAACCAGAAGGCTAGTGGTTCAAACCCACCAGTCACTCCTTGGAAGGAAGATCAGGCAATCTACTTCCCTAGAGATACTGCCTCGGAAACCTAAGGACAGGCCACTATGAATCAGATCTGACTCGATGGCAGTGAGTTTAGTTTTTTGTTTTTATTTCAGCAACAAAAACAACAAAACACTTCTCAAGGGGAAAAGTGTCCTAAGCAACAATCATCTACCACTATTGTGTCTTGAGTTGAATAGTTGCCTTTTTAAACCATCACATGGAAACAGGAAATGCATCAACCTGCCCTTTCTAAGAAAGTGTGCCAAGGGATCCCTGTTTGAACTATGGTGTGACACCCACAGTCCATTCTCCTTATGAGAGTCTAACTTTAATGTTGCCTGGTCAGTAGATAAGGCAGAGCTTTTAATTCCACCATGTAGAATCTTCAAAAACTCTGTGAGTTGCTATGTGGATTGAATTGGATTCTCTAAAAATATGTGTTGTAAATCCTAACCCCTGTACCTCTAGTTGGAGCTCTGGTAGTGTAGTGCCTAAGGCAGCTGACTGCTAACCATAAACCTGGCAGTTCAAACCCAGCAGCCACTCCTCGGAAAAAGGAAAGTTGGACAATCTACTTCCATAGTGATACTGCTTCAGAAACCCAAGGAGGGGTCGCTGAGTCGGGTCCAACTCAACAGCACACAACAACAACAATACCACTAGTTATAATCCCATTTTGGAATGAGTTTTCCTTGTTATATTAATGTGACAGTAGTAGTATAGGTGGGTCTTAAGTCAATCTCTTTTGAGATATAAAAGAGATAAAATAAGCAAGTGAGCAAGCAGAGATGGGGAAGAGAGATGCCACACCACATGAGATCACAAAGGAACCAAGAAATGGAAGCTTGAAAGAGATAAGGACCCTTCCCCAGAGCCAACAGAGAGAGCCTTCCTGCAGAGCAGGCACTCTGAATTTGGACTTGTAGCCTCCTAAACTGTGAGAAAATAAATCCCTGGTTCTAAAAATATCAAATTGTGGTATTTCTGTTATAGCAGTACTAGATAACAAAGACAGTCCACCACCCATTGTCCCAGTTACCTAGAAATGAGACACAGTGTCTGAAATTTGGAAATCAAGAGAATCCGCCTTAAACATATAGTACCTCTTGTAGTTTTGTTGAAAGTATGGATGCAGTCAATGTCCATTGTGTTATTTCCAGCTTCCAAAATTGTTCTCTTGCTTGTCTCATTGCACCTCTTGGTTTCATAGACTAGAAACACAAAGAAAGTTGAGTCCGGCTTTGCTCTCCTCTCATGCCTAAGATGTGTTGAGGAACTCTCTTCTTTGGAAACCCCACTATTTGTGATTTTATCTCCTGCATGTTCCAAAGTCAAGGTAGACCAGATGGCACTCCCCACCCCCAACACCTATCTTGGGCTGCTGAGTATGAAGTGGTCAAAATGGCCTAAGCAATGCACACTGGCTACACAATCCAATGAGAAAGAAGATGGTCATAATTCCCAGAAATAATACCAGTGTGGGAAGCTAAACCTTTATTACATGAAACTTAATGCACAGGAAAAAATTAAGAATGTAGACTAGAGTGTCCACTGAGGGGAAAATATAACTTTTTTTTTTTTTTTTTTAGCTAGCTCTGGTGGTGTAGTGCCTAAGGCATTTGACTGCTAACCAGAAGGGTGGTGGTTCAAACCTACTCGCCACTCCTTGGAAGAAAGTTTGGGCAATCTACTTCCATAGTGATACTGCCTTGGAAACACAATGAGGGGTTGCTATGAGTCGGATCTGACTCCACAGCAGTGAGTTTGTTTTATTTTGTTTTTAACCCTTTACAGATTTTCCAAGAATAGTCAACCGGGAGTAGATCTTCTGCACTTGGGAAGGATGCCTTAAGTAAACTCTCTCAGACACATAAACACAAGATCTGACAAAAGATCACCTTCATAAAAGCTTTTGGTAGTTTTTATCTGGAGAAATGAGAAAATTTGTCTAGGGATTATGACAGAGATATGTTCTCGTATCTATTCACCCCTCCTTTCTTTGGGGATATCACACCCAAACCCACTGCCTTCAAGTCCATTCTGACTCATACTCCTCAAATTTACACTGAGTACAAGTCTTTCCCAGTCTCCCTTGCAGCTAGGTGGAGCCATGTAACTGTAGGCCAATAGGCTCAGAAGTGATATGAGGTTAAGAGAATAGGTATGCCTTCTACTTCTCTTTCCCCCTTCCCACTGACTGGTAAAAGGATGTGGATTTACAGCTACCATCTTGGAATACAAATGGAAGTTGAACAGTGAGGATGGAAAGGCTGATATGGAACTACCACATCAGCCCTTGACTTCCTATGTTTAACCTGTTATGGAAATAAGTCTCTCTGTTTAAGCCATAATTATTTCAGTCTTTGATATACCACCAGATTCTGTAACCTAATACAGAAATTAAGTTCACAGGGAACATTCATCAATATAGACCATAATGCAAGCCTTAATAAATTCAAAATCATTGAAATTTTAGAGTATTCTCTAAGACCACAATGGAATTAAATAAGAATTCATTAACAACAATAACAACAAAGATAATTAAAAAATGAGAAAATCTCCAAATATTTGAACATTAAATAATATATTTTTAAATAACCCATAAAAAGCCCAGAGGGGATGACATAACAGAACAGCAGCCAGGGATCCAGGTAAGGGGAGCAACCCAGGCCCCACCCCCACCCGCCAGGAAAGTGGAGGAAATAGAAACCAGAGGAGATGAAAGAGCAGAGCAGTGCCAGGGATCCAGAAAGGGGAGGGTGGAAAGGTTTTGAACAGCTAAGCGAGACAAACTTGTCTATCAGTTTGTTGTACTCTTGTGGCTTGCAGGTTGCTGTGAGTCTTGAGACTGTGCCACTGGTGTTTCAAGTGCTGGCAGGGTTGCACAAGGTGCACAGGTTTCAATGCAGTTTACAGACTGAGACAGACTAGGAAGAAGGAAGAGGCCATCAACTTCCCAAATAATTGGCCGGGGAAAACCTTAAGAATAGCAGAGAAACACTGCCTCATACATTACTGCATAACTTTGTGAATAGCCCAGAAATGTTATTCGATACAGTGCAGGAGAATGAGCAACTTAGGTCAGAAGGCTTTCAAAATACAACTAGGAAAGAGCTGCATCATCAAAGTAGGACCAACCTTACTGATATAAAGTAAAGCTCACAAGACCTCCATTTGCTGATGTGGCATGACTCAAATTGAGGAGAAATAGGTGCAAATATTCATTAATAATAGGAAAATGGAATGTACAAAGTATGAATCTAAGAAAATTGGAAGTTGTCAAAAATGAATTGGAACACAAAGATTGATATCTTAGGCATTAGTGAGCTGAAATGGACTGTTTTGGCCATTTTGAATCAGATAACCATATGATCTACTATGCTGGGAATGACAATTTGAAGAGGAATGGTGTGGTATTCATCATCACAAAGGATATTTCAAGATCTGTCCTGAAGCACAATGCTGTGAGTGATGGGATAATATCCACATGTCTACAAGGAAGACCAGTTAATAGGAATGTTATTCAAATTTATGCACCAACCACCAAAACCAAAGATGAGGAAATTGAAGATTGTTATTAACTTCTGCAGCCTGAAATTGACCAAACATGCAATCAAGATGTGTTAATTATCACTGGTGACTGGAACGCAAAAATTGGAAACAAAGAATCACAAGGAGTTGGAAAATTTGGCCTTGGTGACAGAAATAATGCTGGAGATCACATGATAGAATTTTGTAAGACCAACGACTTATTCATTGCAAATACCCTTTTTCAACAACACAAACGGCACCTATACAAGTGGACTTCACCAGATGGAGTACACAGGAATCATATTGACTACATCTGTGGCAAGAGGTGATGAAAAAGCTCAATATCTTCAGCCAAAACCAGGCCAAGAGCTGATTATGGAACAGACCATCAACTGCTCATATGCAAGTTCAACTTGAAGTTGAAGACAATTAAAACAAGTCCGAGAGCCAAAATATGATCTTGAATATATCCCTCCTGAATTTAGAGATCATCTAAAGAATAGACTTGGTGCATTGAACACTAATGACCAAAAACCAAAAGAATTGTGGGATGACATCAAGAACAACATCTATGAGGAAAAAAAAGGGGGAGGGGACCAGGTTGGCTGGTCCTATAGAGCCTGATGGAACCACTGAGACTATTGCCCCTAGCTGCCCTTCAGGTCTGGAACTAAACCCACACCTGTGGCTTCCAGCCAAACAAAAGACAGGCATATGAGTTGAACATTTTCCTGAGGTAGATACACTCCTTGGAGAGAACAATCATGGCAGAAAGAGGGGCTGCTTATGCACAGGAAGACAGCTCAGGGGGCAAGAGTGCATGGAGGGATGGACACAGGGAAGAGGTAATTAACTGGGAGGAAGTGGGAAGGAAGCTGTTGCATTGTGGTAAATTGTGGTCAATGCCATGAGAAAAAGTGTATGTGAACTGCTGTATGGAAAGTGAATTTGCTCTGTAAATTTTCACCCAAATCACAATAAAAAGAAAAACAAAAAAGAACATCATCCATGAAGAAAGCAAGAGGTCATTAAAAAGATGAGAAAAAAGAAAAGACCAAAATGGTTGTCAGAAGAGACTCTGAAGCTTGCCCTTGAGCAGAGAGTAGCAAAAACAAATGGAAGAAATGACAAAAGAGCTGGACAGAAGATTTCAAAGAGCAGTTCCAGCAGACAAAGGCAATTAATATAATAAAATGTGTGAAGACCTGGAGTTGGAAAACCAAAAGGGAAGAACATGCTTGGCATTTCTCAAGCTGAAAGAACTGAGGAAAAATTTAAGCCTCAAGTTGAAATACTGAAAGATTCTATGGGCAAAATATTGAATGACGCCAGCAGCATCAAAAGAAAATGGGAGGAATATACAGAGTCACTGTACCAAAAAGAACTGGCCAATCTTCATCCATTTCAGGAGGTGGCATATGATCAAGAACCAATGGTACTTGTTCTGGTTACCTAGTGCTACTCTGACAAGAATATACCACAAATGGGATGGCTTAAACAACCAGGAGTTTATTCTTACAATTTGGAGCCTTTAAGTCCAAGTTCAAAGTGCCAAGGCTCTAGGGGCTAGGTGAAAGCCCCTCGACCTTGGGGTCCAGCTATGCCTTCTGCTCCAGGCCCACTGGAGCTAGAGGCGTTTCTTCACTCAGACAGCTGCTGGCTGAAGCCCCAATGTTGACAAGTAAAATGGCACAGTCCTGATATTACCAAACCACACAGCAGGCCATTAACTTAAGTCCGTTGCAAGTCCAAAGGTCAGCAGAGCATAGCAGGCTGCTGAGCAACAACATGTCTGCATGCAGGGTCCAAGCATGCCATAGGCTAGAGACCATTCCCAAGGCTTCTCCTTATATACAGAAAACAGACCACATCCCAAAGGCAGCTACTCACCTGCTTGTGGTAGATCCCACCATGGAGTTGATTGCCAGTCTTATCATGGGGAATAACTACCACCAGCTGCCCAGTCACTCAACCAGGCCCAGGCAAGTTGACACACAAACATAACTACCACAGTACTGAAGGAAGAAGTCAAAGCTACACTGAAGGAACTGGCAAAGAACAAGGCTCCAGGAATTGACAGAATACCCATTGAGATGTTTCAACAAATGGATGACCCACTGGAGGCACTCACTCAGTTATGCCAAGAGATCTGGAAGACAGCTACCTGGCCAACTGGAAGAGATCTATATTTGTGCCCATTCAAAGAGAGGTGATCCCACAAAATTTGGGAATTATCAAATAATATCATTAATATCACACACAAGTAAAATCTTACTGAAGATAATTAAAAAACAGTTGCAGCAGTATATTTACGGAGAACTTCCAGAGGTGCAGGCTGGATTCAGAAGAGAACGTGGAACAAGGGATATCATTGCTGATGTCAGATGGATCTTGGCTCAAAGCAAAGAATACCAGAAAGGTGTTTACTTGTATTTTATTGACTATGCAAAAGCATTTGATTATGTGAATCATAACAAATTATGGATAATATTGAGAAGAATGGGAATTCCAGAACAATTGTACTCATGAGAAACCTGTACATAGACCAGGAGGCTGTCAGTCTAACAGAACAAGGGGACACTGTATGGTTTAAAATCATTAAGGGAGTGCATCAGGGTTGTATTCTTTCCCCATATTAATTCAATCTATATGCTGAGCAAATAATCTGAGAAGCTGGACTATATGAAGAAGAATGTGGCATCAGGATTGGATGAAGAATCATTAACAACCTGTGATATGATGACGATACAAATTTGCTTGCTGAAAGTGAGATGGTGTGAAGCACTTACTGATGAAGATTGAAGACTACAGTCTACAGTATGGATTCTACCTCAATATAAAGAAAACAAAACTTCTCACAACTGGACCTGTAAGCAGCATCATGATGAATGGAGAAAAGCTTGAAGCTGTCAAAAAAATTCACATTGCTTGGTTCTACAATCAACACCAATGGAGGTAGCACTCAGGACATCAGATGATGTACAGCACTTGGCAAGTTGGCTGCAAAGGACCTCTTTCAAGTGCCGAGCAGCAAAGATGTCTCCTTGAGGGCTAAGGTACGCCTGACAAAAACCATGATATTTTCGATCACCTCATATGCATGTGAAAGCTGGACAATAAATGAATAAAGAAGACCAAAGAAGAATTGATGCTTTTGAGATGTGGTGCTGGCAAAGAATGCTGAAAGTACGATGGACTGCTAAAAGAACTAACAAATCTGTCCTGGAGGAAGTACAGCCAGAATGCTCTTTGGAAGCGAGAATGGCCAGACTTTGTTTCACCTACTTTGGTCATGTTATCAGAAGGTACCATTCACTGGAGAAAGATGTAATGCTTGGTAAGGTGGAGGGTCTACAAAGGAGGGAAGGCCCTCAACGAGATGGATTGACACAGTGGCTGTGGCAATGGGCTCAAGTATAGCAGGGATCGTGGAGCTGGCATGGGACTGGGTGGTGTTTTGTTCTGCTGTGAATAGGGTCACTGTGAGTCAGAGATGAATGGATGGCACCTAACAACAACACAGCTCCCTAGTGGCACAAAGGTTAAGTGCTCAGCTGCAAACCAAAAGACTGCCAGCTCAAACCTACCCAGCATCTCTGTGGGAAAAAGAACTTGAGATCTGCTCCCATAAAGATTACACCCCAGAAATGCAATGGAGCTGTTCTACTCTGTCATATGGGGTTGCTATGGGTCTGAGTTGACTCAATGGGGTCCACAACAACAACAAATAACACATGGGCTGAGGATAAACCACAAATAAAATTTTAAAATATTTTAAGTGCATGAACATGAAAATCCAACATAAGAAAATTTCACCCAACACAAGTTAAAGTTAGCAAGTGAGCAAGCAGAGATGGGGAAGAGAGATGCCACATCACATGAGATCACAAAGGAACCAAGAAATGGAAGCTTGAAAGAGATAAGGACCCTTCCCCAGAGCCAACAGAGAGAGCCTTCCTCTGAATTTGGACTTCTAGCCTCCTGAACTGTGAAAATGCAGCCAGTATTGCTTAGAGGGAAATGTGGAGCTCTAATTTATAGCTAAATTTATATCTCCTAATGCACTGCATAGTTTAAAATCAGAAAAGATGTGCATCAGGGTTATATCCTTTCACCATACTTATTCAATCTGTATGCTGAGCAAATAATCCAAGAAACTGGACTATATGAAGAAGAACATGATTGAAGGAAGAATCATTAGCAACCTGCCATAAGCAGATGACACAACCTTGCTTTCTGAGAGTGAAGAAGACTTGAAGCACTTACTGATGAAGATCAAAGACTACAGTCTTTGGTATGGATTACACCTCAACATAAAGAAAACAAAAATCCTCACAACTGGACCAATAAGCGATATCATGATAAACACAGACAAAAAAAATACTAAAATTGTCAAGGATTTAATTTTACTTGAATCCACAATCAACATCCATGGAAGCAGCAGTCAAGAAATCAAACAGCATATTGCATTGTGCAAACCTACTGCAAAAGACTTCTTTAATGTTTTTAAAAGCAAAGATGTCACTTTGAGGACTCAAGTGTGTCTACCCAGGTCATGATATTTTCTATTGTCTCATATGCATGCAAAAGCTGGGCAGTGAATAAGGAAGGCCAAAGAAGAATTGATGCCTTTGAATTATGGGGTTGGTGAAGTATTGAATATATCATGGACTGCCAGAAGAACAAACAAATCTGTCTTGGAAGAAGTACAGCCAGAATGTGTCTTAGAAGCAAGGATGGGGATACTTCCTTATCAAGACATGTTATCAGGAGGGTTATGAAAAAGGACATCATGCTTGATGAAGTAGAGGGTCAGCAAAAAACGAGGAAAATCCTTAGTGAGATGGAATGACACAGTGGCTGCAACAATGGGCTCCAACACAGCGACAATTGTGAGGATGGCTCAGGACCAGGTAGTGTTCAGTTCTGTTGTACACAAAGGTGCTATGAGTTTGGAAGAGTTCTGGTAGCGTAGTGCCTAAGGCACTTCACTGTTAACCAGAAGGCTGGGGGTTCAAACCCACCAGCCAATCCTCGGAAGGAAGGTTGGGCAACCTACTTTCATAGCGATACCATCTCGGAAACCCAAGGAGGGGTTGCTGTGAGTCGGGTCTGACTCGACAGCACATAACAACAACAACAACATAAGTTGGAACCAATGCCACAGCACCTAACAACTGCAAATGTTACAAAAGAAGAAATGGTTATGAAAGTCACAAAAAAAAAAAAAAAAGAAACCAATGATCCAAGTTATCAAGTCTAGAAGCTAGAAAACAAAAAGCAAATCAAACCCAAAGAAAGTAGAAGGAAAGAAACAATAAAATAAGAGCAGAAATCAATAAAGAAAGAAAGCCGACGAAGGATAGAGGAAAAAAAAAATCAACATAACCAAAAGCTAGTTCTTTGAAATAAGTAAGTCACCAGGGCTAAGGAGATTCCTGAAAAGAAGGGGAATTAGAGATATCCCTCCTCTTCCCTTTTGAGGTTTAAAATTGTTAGAACCACTCGGGTGGCTGAAGATAGTCCTCACTCAGATTTACTGGAATGAAGGGATCCCAGTGGAGGAAAGGGGACTCTAAATCAGGGACCAAATATCTGCACCAGGTTTAGATTGTCCTAGTACCATATGTACCTGAATCTAAGGCATCTGTCTGATCCAACCACACGAGCATGGTGGATATGTGCCTAAGTACTGATCACCACACAAAGGGAAGTTGGAAAGAGGAAGAGAGTTGGTTTATTCCCTTGAGTTTGTATTTTGAAAGCAGAGCCCTACTCACATAGAACCACAATGTGGAAAATCTATAATGCTTAGCTGTAAAAGATGTCATCAATCACAGACCCCGACGATGCCAGGACCCAGATCCCTTCATGGCGGTCACTTAAGGAGTTTGCTCAATGTTTCTTACCTATACCAAGCTCAGGATTTTCATACTTTCCTGGAGAAGCAAAACTCTTATTCCATATGGTCAATTCCACCTTCTGAAGTAGTTGTGTAGCCTTTCCTGCAATGTCTTTTTTGGTTCCATTGTATATATTTTTCTTTAAAAGAAATAAAATAGTTAGGCAGAATCTTACTGAAACTTGATGAAAATGAGAACATGCATGTGGTTGGGTGAGCACAGAAGGAGCAGCTATGGAGCACAATGGTGCCATCTTGTTGTGCATGGGGTCACCATGACTCAGGGGCTGACTAGATGACAACAGGTTCTATGCCATCAACTTAATAGGTGGTTTCTCACTTATCACACACATTCCCATGAAGGGTATGTCATTAGCTGCATTTTATTTACGAGACCATGAAAGTTTAGAGGATGAGATCTCTAGGACCTACAATGAATGCCTTTTGGAGAAAGATAGGGGATGGGAAGGGATGGATGTTAGACTCTTAGAGTCGAAGTACTTGATAAAAATCTTTGAATGACAGCTGAAGCATTTTAACCCTAGGCCAGGGTTTCTCAATCCCGGCACTACTGACTCTCAAGACTGGATAATTCTTAGTTGTGGGGACTGTCCTGTAAATTTTGTGTTGAACAGCATCCCTGGCCTCTACCTACTGGATACCAGTAGCACAAACATATACATACCCTAGTGGTGACAACCAAAAATGTCTTCAGACATTTGCCAAATGCTCCCCTGGGGCGTGGGATAAATTCACTCTCAACTGAGAATTGCTCTACTCCAAAAGTCATAGGGAATTATGGTAGTGTTTGTGCAGGAGAATGACATGGTAAGACTGACCAACTATTTCCAAGCCCTGACTCTGTCCCCACTCACCCAAATGTTCACTGGTAGCTGGGTCTTCTTAATGTTCTCTGGGAAATAAAAATAGCCATTAGAATGGATATAGGCGAGAACATGCCGCTGCTCACAGCCCTTCCTCCAATCGCCCTCGAGTTGGGTCTTTCCTTGATGCTTCCATCACCACCACTACAAGTTGCAATCAAATTGACTCTGACTCATGGTGACCCCACGTGTGTCAGAGTGGAACTGGGCTCCACAGGGTTTTCAATGGCTGAGTTTTCAGAGCAGATCACCAGACCTTTCTTCTGAGGCAACTTGGTGGACTCGAACCTCCAACCTTTCAGTAAGTAGCCCAGTGAGATTTGGACCACCCAGTGACTCCAATGCTTCCACCCAAACCAAATCATACCCATTGCTACTGAGTCTATTCTGACTCACAGTGACCCTGTTAGACACAGTAGGACTGCCCCACAGGGTTTCCAAGGCTATAAATCTTTATGGTAGCAGATTGTGCCATCTTTTTTCCAAAGAGTGGCTGGTGGGTTCAAACTGCTGACCTTTTTTGCTTAGCAGCCAAATGCTTTACTCTCTGTAGCATCAGAGCTCCATGCTTCCACAGCCCATTCTAATTCCCCTCTAAAAATAAAAAAGAAAGAAACCCATTGTCATCAAGTTGATTCCAGTGTATAGTGACCCCATGTAATAGAGTAGAACTGCCCCACAGGGTTTTCTTGGCTGTAATCTTAAAGGAAGCAGATTTTCAGGCCTTCTTCTGCAGTTATGCTGGGTGGGCTTGATCCTCCAACCTTTAGGTTAGTACAAAAACGAAGTACACTGCCATCAAGTTGGATCCGATTCATAGTGACCCCTCCTTGGGTTTCCGAGGTGGTATCAGCATGGAAGTAGATTGCTCAACCTTCCTTCCGAGGAGTGGCTGGTGGGTTTGAACTGCCAGCCTTCTGGTTAGCAGTCAAATGCCTTAGGCACTACGCCACCGGAGCTCCCTTTAGGTTAGTAGTTGGGTGCAAACCACTTGTGCCACCCAGCTGTCTTTTTTCCCTGTAGGGAGCCCAAAATATCTCCTACAGTAGAATTTGAAGAGAGATTTAAGATGGGGCTTTCATGTCAAGAACTCAGTCAATAGTATATTTCCCCCTTTAATTAATTAATTAATTGATTGATTTTTAAATTGTGATTTGGGTGAAGATTTACAGAGCAAATTCACTTTCCATACAACAGTTCACATACACTTTGTCTCATGTCATTGACCACAGTTTACCACAATGCAACAGCTCCCCTCCCACTTCCTCCCCATAGTTACCTCTTCCCTGTGTCCATTCCTCCATGGTCAGTCAATAGTATTTATTGAGCACCTACTAAAAGCCAGGCATGATGTTACACCTGTGAACACAGGTTGGTAAGAGAGAGGAGGGTACCTGCTTTTGGAGCATGTAGTCCACAATTAATTTGCCATTACATTTTGCTATAAAAAATTTTAAAAATTAGCATATCATGCCTACAAAAATAAGTGGATGGGGAAGGGAGGTGGGTGTGGTTGGCAAAAAAAAAAAAAAGCATTATTTGTGTAAAAATACGGTAATTAAATGACTGCAAGGGTACAACATGCTTTTAAGAAATAGGACAGAGTGATTTGGGAGTAAACTGCAAAGGTACCTAACACATCAGGGGTTCAGGTAAGCTGTCCCTAAGGAATGAATGTTAACTGAGATAATAATATAGTTGTTGTTGTTGTTGTTAGGTGCTGTCAAGTTGTCTCCGACACATAGTGACTCTATGTACAACAGAACAAAACATTACCGGTCCTGTGCCAGCCCCACAACCCTTGCTATACCTGAATCCATCATTGCAGCCATTGTATCAGTCCATCTTGTTGAGGGCCTTCCCCTTTTTTGCTGACCCTCCACTTTACCAAGCATGGTTATCTTTCTCCAGGTAATGGTCCCTCCCTGACAATATGACCGAAATAGGTGAGACCAAGTTTGGCCATTCTTTCTTCCAAGTAGCATTCTAGCTGCACTTCTTCCAGGAAAGATTTGTTAGTTCTTCTGGCAGTCCATGGTACTTTTAGCATTCTTCACCAACACCACAACTCAGAAGCATCAACTCTTCTTCAGTCTTCCTTATTCACTGTCCAGCTTTCACTTGTATATGAGGTAATTGAAAACACCAAGGCTTGAGTTAGGCACACCTTAGTTTTCAAAGAGACAACTTTGTGCTTCAGCACTTTGAAGAGGTCTTTTGCAGCAGATTTGCCCAGGGCAGTACATTGTCTGACATCTTGACTGCTTCTTCCATTGGTGTTGATTGTGGAACCAAGTAATATGAAGTCTTCAACAACTTCAAGCTTCTCTTCATTTATTGTGATGCTTCTTATTGGTCCAGTTGTGAGGATTTAATATATATCTAAGATTGTGAGGCTGGCACAGGACCGGGCAGTGTTTTGTTCTGTTGTACGTAGGGTTGCTATGAGTCGCTGGCACGTAACAACAACAACAATAACATAGGAGCAGTAATAATACTACAATTGTCTACACATCACAATAACAACATGGGGGTTAGGGGTGAAGACAAAAACCCAAGTGCAAATTTTGACTCTGCAAATACTCAACCAATTGCCTACTGTTGACCAGAGGCATTACTGATAACATAAACAGTCGATTAACATAATTCTTGCCATCAGTTTTCAAATTTGTATATGAAGACACACATGTACACAACCGATAAGTTTATTAACTATATGGCATGATGATTATTTACTATTCATTAAGTGGAAGTGGATCATCATAAAGGTTTTTGTGATGGTTAACTTTGTGTGTCAACTTGGCAGGGCCTGGTTGAATGGCTGGGCAGCTGGATGTAGCATTTCCCATGATGAGACTGGTAATCACCTTCATGGTGGAATCTATTGTGAGCAGCTGAGTAGCTGCTTTGGGTATGTGGTCTACTTCCTGTATAAGCAGTAGCTTTGGGAATGGTCTCTAGCTTGTGGCATGCTTGAACCCGGCATGTAGCCATGTCATTGCCCAGCACCCTCTATGTTCTACTGACCTTGCTACTTTCAATGAACTTGAATTAATGGCCTGCTGTGTGGTTTGGTAACATTGGGACTGTGCCTTTTTTTCTTGTTAACCTTGGGCTTGTCAGCCTCAGCAGCCAGCAGCTGTCTGAGTGAAGAAAAGCCTCTAGCTTCAGTGGGCTGGGAGCAGGAGGTGGAGTGAAGCCAAGGTTGAGGGGTTTTCATCCACCCCCTGGAGCCTGAAACGTTGAACTCGGATTTAAAACCTCCAACCTGTAAGGGAATAAACTCCTGTTTGTTCAAGCCATCCCACTGGTGGTGTATTCTTGTCAGAGTGGCACTAGGTAACCAGAACAGTCCTCATCTTCATTGTCTTCACACTGAGTAGGTTGAGAGGTGGAAGAAGAAGGGATAGTGGTACTGTCTCAGGGGTGGTAGAGGTGGAAGTAGTGGAGGACGTGGAATGGGAGGCAGGAGAGGCAGGCATACTTGGTGTAACTTCCAGAAATACTTCATAACTTCCACCTGACACTTTAGCTTTTTCATTTCTCTGAAAACGTTTCTATGTAGTACCAATCCTTCTTCCACCATTTAACTTGGTTTCCGTGCCCGTATCACAGAAGGGTCTGTGTCATAAAAGAAGTCAAAAGCAGTCTTGAATAACCTTAATAGTGTTCCCAGATTGTCTAATGTTAATCTGTTTTCTGGCACTGCTTCTTCGACATTGTCTTCTTCATCATCTGGCACTGTCTCAGAAGCACTCACCTCATTCAAGTCATCTTTTGTTCCATTCCTTGGGTGTGGTGTCTATCGCATCTTGAATTTCTCCAACTCCATATCTTGAAAATAATCTGCGTTCTAACACATATCTGTGTTACGAAATGGCTAATATTTCTTGAGCCTTCCTAGGTGTGCTGCATTAAGCATTTCAGCTGCACTTGTAACCTTGAAATTAGCCTTGATGGTGCAGTGGTTAAGCGCTCAACTGCTGGCAGGTGGTTTGAACCCATCAGTGACTCCATGGGAGAAAAGAGTTAGCAATTGCTCCTGTAAAAACTACAGCCTAGGAAGCCCTACACGGCAGTTCTACTCTATCATGTGGGGTCACTATGAGTGTGGGTCAAGTTGCTGGTGCACAACAACAGTCATCACAAAGGGTAGATGAATTCATGTTTATGAAATGGCACCCAGTGATCCCTGCCTCTTAGTATTCATGCCCTTGTGTAATCTCCTCCCCTTGTGTGTATGTTAGACCTAATGGTTGACTTCTAATGAACGTTGTTGCTGTCAACTCTGATTCCTGGTGATCTTACACAGAACAGAATGAAACTTTGCCTGGTCCTGTGCCATCTTCATGATTGTAGGGGTGTAGTGTAGTAAATTACTTTGTGTGGCTTTTCTACCCATAAGTCTTTGTAAACTCCAAGGTGGGATTTGCTATGAGCAACTGAGGAGCTCCTGATTGCTGAAGGTGTCCACCTGGAGTACTTCTGTTGGGAGTGGCACAAAACAATGTTCTGGGAGGTGCCCACTCTCTCTCAGGTACTTAGAGTTCTGATGCTATAATTGGCTAGTTTGACCACCCTGCTGGGCTCAAAAGGAGGCTTCCTGGAGGCAGAACTCTCTTGGACTGCTGGTTGAGGAAGACATGCTGCTGAAAGAGACATGCACCCCGGAAAGAGACACGTGCTTCTGGGAAAGAGGTGCAAGAGACACGCATCACTGAGTGAGACACTGAGGGACCAGCAATGCTGGGAAAAAGACTGTGAGAGACTGTTGGCTGAGGGACGGTGGGCTGGGAGAGAGACTGAGCGTTCTTCCTGAATTGAGTTGTATCCTGGTACTTCCCTAATAAACCCCGTAATCTGTGAGCTCTGTGTGGTCACTGCAGCGAATTATTGAGCCCAGGAGAGAGGTGGTGGTGCTTTGGGAGGAACAGTTGGTGAAAGGGCTGGAGGGAGGCAGCATGTCTGGCCTGGCATGAATAGGCCTTGGGTTACTGCTGGTAATCCTGTCTTCCTCTTGTGGGGTTAGAGGAGGTCAGAACATGTGGCCTCCTCGCTGTTTTAGCAAGGGGTTTGAGTCATTGTTGTGGCTATTGTGTCAATCCATCCATTATGGACTGAATTGTGTCCCCAAAACTGGATGTGAGAGCCCTGACCCCTGTGGAGGGAACTTCATTTGGGAACAGGGCTTTCTTTGTTATGTTATTGAGGCTCTACCAATATAGACGGTGTATCCTAAACCTAATCACTTCTGAATTACAGACACGGAGGCAAGCAAGCAGATGCTATCTGAAGACGAAGGAGGCAGATGAATCTGTTAACCCAGGAACTTCCAGCTCCTAGAAGCTGACATAGCAAGGACTTCCATGTAAAGCCACATGCTGAATTCAGATGTCTAGGCTCCTAAACTATGAAAAAATAAAGTTCTGTTCTTTAAAGGTACCCATTTGTGGCATTTCCATTATAGCAGCACTAGGAAATTAAGACACCATCTCATGGAGGGTCTCCCTCACGTTAATTGGCCCTCTCCTTTACCAACATGCTGTCCCTCCTGATGTCACATCCACGTGAGTGAGTGACAGTCTCAGGCAATATTCTGTTATGATCTACAGGGTTTTCCATTGCTAATTTTTGGGAAGTACATAACCAGGCCTTTGTTCCTAATCTGGAAGCTCCCCTGAAACCTGTCCACCATGGGTGACCCTGCTGGTATTTGAAATATTGGTGGCATCATTTTCAGTATTATATATTCTAATGAATGGAATACAGCAAAAGTGATGAGATGTCTGTCCCAAGATTAGGTTATAAGTGACTGTGACTTCTATCATGTTTGCTCTTTCTGGCCCTTGTTGTATGCTTGCTATGATAAAGCAAGACAGAGAAGACCATGTAGTTAGGGACTGAAGACAGCTTCCCATCAACCACCAGAGAGACTGAGGCCTTCAGTCCAGCAGCTTTTGAGGAACAGAATCTTGTCAGTAACCATGTGAGTGGGTTTGGAAGCAGATCCTTCCCCACACTCAAATGAGACCTCAGCCCTGGCCAACACTTTACTTGCAGATGGACAGCTTAAAGCAGAGAACCCAGCTAAGCTGTGGCTAGAGGTTTAGCCTTAGAAATAGTAGACAATAAATATGTGTTCTTTTAAGTCACTAACTCTTGAGGTAATTTGTTACGCAGGAACAGAGAATCACTACAGTAGGTGTCTTGATTATTCCCATTTAAAGATGAAGCATAGGTCTTTGAGTGGCACAAACAATTTGCATCTGACTATAACTGCAAGTTTGGGAGTTCAAACCCACCCAGTGACACCACAGAGGAAAGACCTGGTGATCTGCTCCCATAAAGATTACAATCAAGAAAACCCCATGGAGAAGTTCTACTCTGTATAACACGGGGGGTTATAACAAGTTGAAATCAACTTGAAGTCGATGAATTACAAATGAATCGTATAAAACTTAAGTCATTAACCAAAAGTCAGCTGGACATGAATCCAAATCTATGTAACACAAAACATCTAATGACACTTTGTTGTTGTTAGGTGCAGCTGAGTCAGTTCTGTTGACTCATAACAGCTCCATGTACAACAGAATGAAACCTGCCTGGTGCTGTGACATTCTCACCATCAAACCCATTGTTGCACCCACTGTGTCAGTCCATCTCATTGAGGGTCTTCCCCTTCTTTGCTGACCCACTACTTTACCTAGCATGACATCATTCTCCAGGGACTGGTCCCTTCTGACCATATGACCAAAGTATATGAGGCAAACTCTGGGCATTCTTGCTTTTAAGGAGCATTCTGGCTGCACTTCCTCCAAGAAGGATTTGTTTGTTCTTCTAGATCTATGGTGCATTCAATATTCTTCACCAACATCACAATTCAAATGCATCAATCATTGAGCAGTCTTCCTTTTTCAGCTCTCACTCATCACAGACTAGTTGTGGCAAATTATACTAAGATTGAACAAATAAGTAAAAATATTGATAGTGAGAGCCATGTTTTTTCACTGTTAGAAAAATAAGTTACAAATAAAGAAATAGGAAAGGCTAGAATGGAGATACTGTGTGGCTTAAAATCAAGAAGGGTGTGGGTCAGGGTTGTATCCTTTCTCCACATTATCCCATCTGTATGCTGAGCAAATAATCTGAGAAGCTGGACTGTAGAAGAACATGGCATCAGGTGTCGAGGAAGACTCATTAACAACCTGTGATATGCAGATGGCACAACTTTGCTTGCTGAAAGTGAAGAAGCCTTAAAGCACTTACTTATGAAGATCAAAAACTAGTCTTCAGCATGCATTACACTTCAACATAAAGAAAACAAAAATCCTCACAATTGGACCAATAAGTAACATCATGATAAAAAGAGAAAATATTAAAGTTGTTAAGATTTCGTTTTACTTGGATCCACAATTCTGGTGGTTATGTTTGTGTGTCAACTTTGCTGGGCCTGGTTGAGTGGCTAGGCAGCTGGATGTAGTATTCCCCATAATGAGACTGGTAATCAACTCCATGGTGGAATCTACTGTGAGCAGCTGAGTAGCTGCCTTTGGGTATGTGGGCTGCTTCCTATATATAAGGAGAAGCTTTGAGAATAGTCTCTAGTTTATGGCATGCTTCAGTCCTGCATGTAGCTGTGTCATTGCTCAGCAGCCTGCCATGCTCTGCCGATCTTGGGACTTACAATGGACCTAAGTTAATGGCCTGTTGTGTGGTTTGGTAACATCAGGACTGTGCCTTTTTACTTGTCAACCTTGGGGCTTCTCAGCCTC